AAGGTAAAGGTATTTCCCATTGACAAGATTGTCAAGTTGTGTCCAACCATAGGAGACGGTGCTCATCTCCATTTCTAAGCCGACGAGCCAGCGTTGTCAAAGACTACTCTGTGATCCTGTGGCCAGCATGATTGCACAGAACGCTGTTTACTTTCTCATTAAAATAAGGTAAATATTTACTTACTTGCATTTGCATGCTTTCGAACTGCTAGGTTGGCAGAAGCTGAGACTAGTGACAGGAGCTCACCCCATCATGCAGCACCCGGGCTTCGAACTGCCAACCTGCCAATCTTACAATCAACAGTCAGCATCTTAACCACTTGAGCTACTGAAAACATTATATTATATCCATTATATTAGCAGGAACGCCTGTGACAGTCCCCCATCAACACCTAAGGAATAATAATAATAATAATAATTTTTATTTAATACCCTGCCCCTCTGAAACCAATTGAGGCGGCTTACAGATGATAAAAAATTACATTATACAGGCGGCCCTCTCTATCCACTGATTCTTTATCCATGGATTCAACCATCCACAGCTTGAAAATATCCCAAAAATATATAAATTCCCAAAAGCAAACTTTGGTCTTGCCATTTTATATAAGACGCAACATATTACTGTGCCATTGTATTTCATGGGACTTGAGCACCCATGGATTTTGGTATCCATGGGGGGGGGGGTCCTGGAACCAAACTGCAATGATACCAAGAGCCCACAATCCCAGACACATCGACAGCATAGGGGGAATGTGGCATAACATCCCCAGGTAATCCAGGTAAGTGACATGTAAGGAACGACATAAATAACATTATGTTGTTGTTGTTGTGTGCCTCCAAGTCATTTCTGAACCTATCACAGGGTTTTCTTGGCATGTTTCTTCAGAGTTCACCCAGTGGGTTTCCATGGTTGAGCTGGGATTTGAACCCTGGTTGTCAGAGTTGCAGGCCAATACTCAAACATCTAAGCCACGCTATCTCTAACATTATATTATGTGCATTATTTTAGCATGCTCTTCTGTGACAGTCACTCCAGCAACACCAAATGAATATTTACTTGACTTTTTCTGTTTTTTAAGCATCTGAAAACTTGCTTCATGTAAAACATAGGCCTTCCATCATAATATTAAAAATTTAGATGATCAGATGAAACTGAACATATATTATCAATAAGTATGCATGGCATATCCTATAATGCTAATATCTTTTTGCAAGCATACTGTCTTATGATCACTTGTGTTCAGATGTCTGTACTATCTGTCCAAATCACAAAACTACCAAACTGAAGTGACTGATACTGCATAGAGTCTTATCATTTTTAATGAAATAGAAATCCCCTAGTAGAGGTTCTCAAATACCAATGCACTATTCCTGGTTATAATGGGTTGTCATTAAAACCTTCAACACACTAACCTGTGGTTGTTGTTCTGTGCCTTCAAGTCGTTTCTGACTTATGGCAACCCTATTGTGGGGTTTTCTTGGCAAGTTTCTTCAGAGGGGGCTTGCCTTTGCCTTCCCCAAAGGCTGAGAGACTGAGCCATGATTTGAACCCTGGTCTCCAGTGCTCAAACAACTACGCCACACCAGCTCTTACACCACACTAACCTCCTACCATAATATTAGATAATCAAATGTGGTCCTTAACATACTTGAGGAGCAAACCACCAAACTATATATTGAAATTAGAATGGATAATTATAAGGAGTGCTTTGTGGCTGCATAGGATCAGGACAGCTATGCCTTCATGTTGTGTCTAATTTATGATAAATTTAAGCCAAATCTATCACAGGGTTTTTGTTTTGTTTTGCTTTTTTTTGCAATGTTTGTTCAGAAGGGTTTGCCTTCTGAGGCTGAGAAAGCATGACTTGCCTAAAGTCATCCAGTGAGTTTCATGGCCGAGTGGGGATTCAAATCCTGGTCTCCTGGAATCCTAGTCCAGCACTCAAACCATTTTATGCTAGCCCTCAGGACAGCTATGGATGTATGTGTGGGTGGGTGCCTTTACGTCAGTTGTTGACTTATGGGGACTCCATTACTTTTCCAGCGTTTTCTTAGGCAAGGCATCCTCAGAGATGGTTTTGCCAGATCCTTCCTCTGAAATATAGCCTAACAGCATCTAATATTCCTTAGCAGTCTTCCATCCAATTGCTAACCAGGCCTGACTCTGCTTAGCTTAGACAGGATTTGGTGCCTTTATGGGATTTAGGTCCTCCAGGACATCTATACATCTTGTAATTGAAAAGAACATATTATTATAGTCTCTCAATTTTTCAAAATTTAATACAGCCATCCCATTCGGATGTATATATTTGGATATACCTTAGCAACAAGAACATATCAGTTCACTACATTTGACATAGTCCAAAGACATATGAATCAAGGCAAAGAAACATGTTATCATTTTTAAAAACACAATATGGATATAGGGAAGGGGAAAACAGAGTATTTAATGTATCTTGGCAGGCCTGTGTAACAAATGTAACTCTATAGAGTAGACCAACAATTCCTATAGAACTGTGGCCACAATTTTCAGATTGTTTAGGAGTTTGTGAATTCCCCAAATCCAACTGAGTTTATAGAATCACAGGACAATTCACTCTCTTCGCTGAACGAGGTTGTACTGTGTATAACAATCTAATATTCATACATACACATGCTAAAAGTGTAAAAATGTGGGGGGAAAGTTGTTTCCCCTTCTGAAATTGCTTCATTTTTGGATTTTATTTTTCAACTGTTATTTTTAATTTTAAATTTATACCTCTAACTTTGGTAGTATTTTAGAGTGCAATTATATGCCCAGATTATGCCAGCTGGAGAGATTGAAGTCTGTTTTAACCAGATGTTGTTTGTTAATTGTTGTCCCCTGCCTTGATCCACGAGGAGAGCTGGGTAAGAAATTATTATTATTATTATTATTATTATTATTATTATTATTATTAATGATTTGTTTAAGTTTCTTACACCAACTGATCTTGATGATATGTCACCACTGGAAACTTGATGCCAGTGTAATGTCAAGATTGCGTTGGTGTTACTGTACCTCCACCACAAATACAACTCTATGTGCCAAATGGTGGCAAATGTTGGGAGACTTGCTAGGTAATAGGATCACTTATCTGACATTATGCCATCTAAAGGTGAGGGTGCTAGCACACCTTGCATGCCCCACACTGTATTTTGGGGTCCCCATATTTCATATCTCCTATCTGGAGATACCATGGTTTTTTAGGTCAGGTTCCAAGGAGAAAAGGTGCATGTCTCAAGGCATGTGCACATCCAGGTAAATAAGACAATCAAATCCAGATAGGTATACCAAGTGCTCCTTCCTTCTCCCAAGTCATCTGCCTTTCCTCTTGCAACTTGAGACAAAGGATCTCCTCGCACCCAAAGCAGTATGCCAACTTCTCTGCCTACCCCTGTTGTGTTCCCAGCCAAACATCCTTGTCCATCTGCCCTGGGGATATCCTGACCCAATCACTGTTTTTGTCATACAATCAGTCCAGAATCCCATTTTTGATTCCTGAGAAAGGACATCCAGTTTTTGTTACCTGACAAAAAGTCTCCTTTCCTTAGAGCTATATTTTAGGTATAAGTATGGTTCCAAAACCTAACCTCTGCACACACAGCCAGCATACACCTCTGCATTCTGTGTATGTTTTGTGTCACCCTCACACCTCCCAGTCTGAGCCACTCCAGGTCTCCATGGTCTATTCATTGGATGATAATTATTCACCCCCTTGCAACACCCTAAAACCTTTCCATATTTCCATTTTGGTTAGCTCTGAATGCTGTGTCTGTGTGAACTGTTATCATGTGTGTGTGATTGCACTCTGCATATTTTCTAAATAAAACTCTCTTAATTCACTCCAAACCTACAGTTTCCTCAGTTAGTACTGATATAAACAGGTGCAAATGGTCTAAAGGTTACCCAAGACTCTTGCAAAAGCTAATTTCCCCAACATTTGAAGTAATGCTGATAGTTCCAGTTCCTCCACCTGTCTTTGGGTAGCAGTAGGTATAAGCTGAAACACTGGTTGAATACACTAAAAAGCAAAAATGCCTTGACCTAATCCTTTCACCTGGTGCTCTGCCCAGACTGCTACAACAGAAGTAAGGTTTTGACTATCAGCATGTCAGAACAGAGAGTTACTTATGCCAGCAATTCCAATGTACTATGAAGCTGTTCCATCTTTTTTCTCCATTAAGAAGTTTTGGAGGACAAGATGTCTGCCCTTTAAAATCCAGTGATTGAAGTAGGACGATAGTGTGATAAAAGCTTCATCTGGAATTGCAGCCAAAGGCAGCAAATCCAGTATAAAACCCTGTTAGGAAGCCCACTAGTCAGATTATCAACTATGTGGCACATGGTTGTATCTTAGCTCATGTTGTGCACATTTTGAGCAAGCAAGGAGAAATTTTGGTGATAGGACAAGAGGGCTTTTTGCACAAAAAGTGAGCAAATTGCACAGACAACCTGGCCCCAAAAAAAGATAGAGGAAGACCAGATTTCAAACAGTTGTACTGCGAAAGCAACTGTATGAAATTTGGTCTTATATCTTTTTTGGGGGCTAGGTTGTCTGCTACAGGTATTCAGTATTCCACATGCAAACATCCACCAGTGACTCCCCCTCTAGTCTTGCAGCTTATGGTGTTAGGAGAAAGCAGCCCACACACATCAGGAAAGAGCAGGGTGGTTTTCCATGCCTCAAAGTGTGAAACTGCAGAGGCCTTCCATCTGCTCTTCCCCCAGATACTGTCAACTGGGTTTTGGCTAAAAGGTTTACCCTCCAATTACAATTAACAGACCTCACTCCCACATAGAAAGCACAAAGGAAAGAATCCTGTGTGTGGTTCAGAGGTGGGGAGGAATCAGGGATTATAGACCTCCCTCATGCATGTAAAACTCTTGGTGAATACCATGCACTCTTGACTAACCATTGCTACTATTGGCTAAACACTAATTCTAACTATTTACAGGACCACACCTGAGTGACAGGGAATAAAATAGTCACTGCACAAACAGAATTCCACAGCAGCTCCTTACAGCCAGGATGGAAGTTTTCCCTTCGTCACTATATGCTCTTGAAAGGAGGAAAGAAGCTGAGAGCATCTAGGAGGCAGCACTGATTCTCCTTCATTCACTCTCCATTTGCCTTCCAAGATTTTGTGTAGCAGCTAATGGGCATTGGTAAGTCTCTGTTTCTCATGGCCATCCATAGGAGGTAACTCTCCAACAGGTACAGAGGCAGGGACAGACACACAACCTTTCTAGATCAGAACATAACACAGCAGCAGCAATGATAAATGGAATTCCAAATGTTTCTTGTGGGATCGCCAGGCTTCCTTCTCCAATGGGTTCTGTACCTTTTGGGCTACTATATATACAAGATATTGGTAAAGCTGAATCCAACATAAGGATGTTATTCTACTGCCTGCAGTACAACTTTTGAGAATACTGCTGGGATGATACCCTTGGCAAACTTATTAATGTGACTTGCTTCCAGAACAGACCTTGTCTTTTTCTCTCATACACAGACTATTAATTAAAAATAGGAACAGTTTTCTATTTTGTAATCATTATCTCTTCACTGGAAGATGAGGATCTCATTCTTTCTTCATTGGGCCACAGCTGATTTCAAGACAGGATGTTGCCCAGGGATTTGAACTGCTGTCAGTCCTAGAGATTTGCAGTGACTCCATGCTTTATCCACTTCAGTGAGGGGAAAGGGGTGGGCACATGACAATCCTACATTTTTACTACTGATGTAGTGATCTCAATGTGTGAGAATGAGTGACTTTGTTAAAACTTTATAGTAGACCATGATTTAGCAAGGTGTAAATTAACCCACTTTCCCCCAGAGTTTACAGGCTCCTCTCTCCTTCTCTACTGTGTTTAGAAATGTTGATTAACCCATGCAGAAGGGGGGGGGGGAGGTTCTTTTTCCTCATTCAAGTCATAGGAGATAGTATTTAACCTCA